TTGACTCGCGTTCCATTCAATTCATAATGAAATTTACGTTTTTTCATCGAAATCATGTTTATTTAAAAAAAAAAAAGGTTCAATTCTTTGTCAGTTAGCAAATTTATTACTCAATATTAATTTCAGCTATTCTTGAATTTATTACGAATGAAAAAACAATAATGATGACGTGCATTCACCGAACATTTATGCAAAGCCATTCATTGCAATACAGTAAATGAATGTTGAGTTCTATACTTTTTTGTTGGTTACAAAATCCGTTCACAAATTAATGACTTTAAGTAATTGTTTGACGCATAATAACCATTAAATTCATTTTTGTTTTACGGTACTGATACCAAAGCGGTGTGAAACCATCTACCACTTAACCATTATATCGTTAAGCCCGCACAATTACAGCAAGAAATCTTATTATTGTTGTAAAAATTGATGTGTTCACAGTCCAAGTTCATCCAAAAAATTAAATATAGTTAATTGGTCAAATGTTTGTTGTTCGCATAGAAAAAAAAATTCAATTTCATTTGGATTTAAACAAACTTCATTTTTATTCTCTTCTTTTCATTCGTACCGGTGTGATTATGTGACTAATGGTTCAAATCCTCTAGTTCGAGATTTACGCATATAAAGCAGATATATCATCTGTACATTGTGCAAATTATTAGCACAATCAATAAAGTCAAATATTAAGGTAAAAAATATAGTTGTTAATTATACGTAAAATGTGTATTGTGTATACGGCATTTTCCATCTCGTTGTCAATGCCATTCGATATAGATGTATGCATTGTCTGTTTTTTGAATGAACTACAGAAAAAATGCTACAAAACTCGTCCAAGCATACACAAAATGATCTGAAAAAAAATACGAAATCGCTACTTTTGAATACAACTTGAACAAAAACAATCTAAAGTTATTGATAATATTACACGCGTTCTAAGCATACATAGAAACATTTTGTACAAAATAAATAAAAAATTAATGACAGATTATGACAGACAAAGATTATAGGTCGATGCAAATGTCTTTAACATTGTAAATATAGCGCTTTAGAAACAATGAAAGAAATAAAAACACAAATATAATTGAATTATTGTGTGGAATGATAGAAGTTTGGCGAATTGAAGACGAAGCTGACTAAATGATTACACACAGTGAGACAAATGACCTTGAGCTTGACTCTCGAGTGAACCCAAAAGCAACAACACAGCCATGTATCGTTAGTAATTCGCGTTTTTGTGTGTTGTTTTACGATTTTATTTATTTAAAAAAAAAATCACAGTGTCTGTCTGATCCCATGTATGACGCAGCTATGTAAAAATTAAGCACTATCTATGCTAAATCACGCACTCTTGAAGCCCAAATTCAGCTTATTCAATAATTTGGAATTTACGAGTATTTATAAAAGCAGCTTCATACTTTTCAAAGTCATCATCAAAAATCCTGAAAACTCCCTATATTGCATTTTTGTCTATGTCATGTTTTGTGTTGTTCAAAATCGAACTGAGTTGAATGAATCGATTTCGTTGTGTTATAATGGAATGCGATGGAATGTTTGTTTTTTTCCGCCCGCAAACAAACTTAAAACGTTACAATCTAGTTTTCGATTGTTGTTTCTCAATAAAATTTTAATTCTTTTTTCATTGTTAACAGTCACTGCACTCGACTCACTGTTTTTTTCATGGTCGTGAAAGTTTTAGTTCAACTGAAAATCATGCATTGATGAAAAAAAAAAAAAAAACATTTCACATTGCAAATCATATTTAACGGATTGCAACATTCTTTTTTAATTTTTTCGATTTTTTGAGTCAATTTTTAAACTCAATGATTAATGCTTGATAGACAGATTCGGTTCCGAATGTTTCACATAGCCAAACAAACTTTACTTGAAGTAAACCGATTATGAATTTTGTTCGGAAAAAACTTGGACAAATCAATACTTTTTCCTCAGGAAATTTATTCGTACATAGTTCTGCACGAATTCATGATATGTACATGATTACTTTAGATTGTTTTTGTTCAAGTTGTATTCAAAATTTGCGATTTCGCGTTTTTTTTTTCAAATCATTTTATGTATTGGTAGTAGTAGTTAAAAATGTCGTATTTTTCGCTGAAAATGTGCATTTATTTCAATAACAAAATGAATGAATACATTATTCAAAGTACTGTCCATCGCTAGCCAATACTTTTTCCCATTTCTCAGGCAATTTTCGGATTCCATGTTTAAAGGACTGTTAATTTTTTTCAGGTATCTAATGACCGAGTCATTTTTCGACTTTTATAAAGTTTGCACATAATTGATCAGAAACGGTGCACTGCATCCATTGAAATTAGTGGTATTCAGACATAGGAATGTCCAGTGAGTACAGCGGGGGTATAAAGATTTTTTATCGATCTATTTTTCAAACAATTTTTAATGATTTTGCAAAAGTGGAAAAAATCAATTTTTCAAAAATTTGGATAATTGAATTTTTCTACAAGTTTTTTGTAATTTTTCTGTTACATTTAAACCAAAAACGATCACTCGACATCAATAAAGATCATCCGTAACGATTTTGATCAGTTTTAATTCGATCAAGTTTGGCAGAATCACCCAATGGGCAGAATCACGAATTTTTGGATTTCACGTCGATTTTTGTAATTCAGCTCAACTTACATATGGTTTTCTATGCTTGAAATTCTTGAAATAGATCCCTCCTTCACAATCAATCTCAACTCAATACGAAAATGAATCCATTTGTAAATTTGGAGCGATATTTGATTAGTCTTGTACTGCCATTCAACCAAATTTTCCTTCAGTTCGAATTCGCCACAATTTTCACCACTTTCAGGAAATGTAAATATTTGATATCAATCGCATTGTTCATATTTAGTCAATCCACAACTCTTAAATGCATTTAACATAGACTTTTTTGCAAAAATGAGTGAAATCATTCAACTTGAAAATTTTTGGTGAATTTGAAGTTTTACACCAAATTCACCACTCAGTGTCACCAAACTCAACATTTTTGTGTTGGAATCAACAGATCTTGTTAATCTCAATGCATCATAATGATTATATGCATTTCTGAATGGATTAAAGTGAAAAAAATTGAATTCCCGCAAATGATGTTTTGTTGGAACGTAATTCGACATTTTCAATGCAACACACAAAAAATAAACCTAACAAATCATTTTAGGATTCCTATTAAAATATTAATTTGTAAGGTTTCCTTCTAATATGGCAACATTTTATTAGGAAACCTTTAAATAATAAAACATGTTTTGTTTCAACACAGTGAGGTTGGATTTGACGTTTAAGCGCGCCAATTTATTAGGATTCCTGTTAAAATATTGCGATTTTATAAGGAAACCTAACAAATTCATTTTTTTAATAGGAATTCTAAAATAATTTGTGGGGTTTATCTCTTGTGTGAATAATAAAACTTGTTTGTGAAAAATTGTGTTCACTTTGACAAATCAATTTAGCGAATTTTTTGACACTCTTTAAGATAGAATAGCTGTCATTGTCAAAAACTAGTAAACATGACAATTAAGAGGTTAGTAACAAATGCGACATTTTTAACTACTACTACCAATATTATAAAGCTTAAAATTATTATAGGTTTTTGTTCTGTAGAATAGATGGGCACAGGAATAACTCTCCCCCCAGGTGGCAGCCGAGAAAACTAGGGATTTTCGCCAGAAAAGTGATCTCAAAAAAAAAACTTGACTGAGAGACATTTTTTTGGAGCTAGGGTTTTTGATTGGTCGCCCCTTAAATTTTTGCCATGCCCACGTATGGTATGTATGTAACGTACCACAATATCAAAACTATTTTCATAAAAAAAATAACAGTAACAACAACAAAAATGCAATAAAATCTTATTAACATTTTGTATGTGTATTTTTTGTTGGAAAAATAAATTCCCACTTGATTGATTGATATTTGGCATTTTTTACTCATTTCTGGGAGAGTGTTTCTCTTTATTTCACCTCATAGGATGATGGAGATGTGTGTATTTTTTTTGCGCAAAGACATATATACTTTTTTGTGATGTTGTATTCGCTTTTTTTAACCGGAATAATTTGCCGATTGATACATAAAGTATTCCACTTATCGTACAATTTACCATGCGATCGATTACTGAATTCACATACATTTTCATTAAAAATAAGTATATTTGACATTGGGAACTGTATGGCTAATGAAAAGCTCTTGTGCTCTCTCGCTTTCTCTCCATTTTCGTTAAGTGCCAATAAAATTGCAAGAATAAAATACGTTTCAAGAGAGTTTTCATTTATTTTGATTTTAAATGCAATTAAATTCATCAAAAAATCAAACTGAAAATGTAATTGTATGCATGAACCGATCAAAGGGGTTTAATTGCAGCAAAGTGAATGTTACCGTTGAGAATTCTCAACGGTACTTAATCACTTAATCGATGCCTGAATGTATAAAATGAAGCTAACATTGAATGGAGAAAAAACGCGATAAATAAACAAAAAATAATAATTTTTAATAAATTATAATTTTCTTCTGTGTCATTGTGATGATCACGAGCGTTCTAAATTCTTTTGCAAAACGTGCTGGTGCATATTAAAAAATGTCACAGTTTGAAAAAACGTAAAGTCAATAAACTTCTCCACGTGTATAAAACGTGTGAAGACGAGGACGAGAAAAAAAGAAGAAATTAGTCATTCTCACTAAGAAAGAAGACTGAGTGATTAATTATCCAATCAATAATACCGGAAATTATCCCGAAAACATGATAACGTACTGTCAGCTCAACTGACCAGTTAATTCAATATATTGTCTGGTTTTTAACTTAAAATATACTTCTTTTCCAATAGAAATGGTTATTGTCGAATTGTCGGTTGATCATATTAAAGGAGTTTAGACGTTTTATTTGTAATTACGAACAAATGCTTAAAAATAGCTTATCAAGAAAGTTTTATTCTCTGTTTTGAGGCACGTGCAAAGCTGATTTATGAAAAAGAGTATATAAGGTCTTGGCTGCACGGTTTCATTTATACAAAGCTACTTCAAGTCTCAAAATGAAGTCGATCATAGTTCTGTCAATTTTGTCGCTTTTAATACTCACTCAGGTATACAATTATTTGAACAAAAATTCTTCTATTTAACTAATTTTTTTAGATTTTTCTTTGTTTTTAATATTTTTTTGATCTACTCATACCAATAAAGGTGATCAACGGCGAAAATATTCACGAATTTTTGGAAAAGTGTCTTAAGAAAAGAGTTCTGGAATACACTTTAAGACCACTAACGAAACCTGGCGATAACTTTAAAGCAACAATACAGTCACTCGAAGTGAAATTGCTTAAGAGCAATGATTCAAATGAAGTATAAAAAACCAATTTTTTATTAAATTGATAAACGATGCACGAAATTTTGTACATTTTCAGATTGAAACACGACAATTGGTATATAAAATGCCACTTACTGGTGTAAACAATGCACAAAAAATAAAAATCTTTGTGTATGAAATAAATTTCTATACGGAGATAATTCCAGCCATTGAGAGATTTGCTGCGACACTTCCGACAGCTGAACGGAATGATATATTTGTTCGTTTTTTAGGTTCCCGACTATCTTCAGATTCAAGTAAGATTTGTTCATCACCATATTCATTAAAACTAACGTTGAATGTTGAATTTTAGACGCTAAAAATATCGATTCAAATGCAGCTATTCTATTGGAAAATATCAAATCATTGGGCTATGTTGGTTCGAAAAGTTCAATAGAAAGCACATTATGGAATAATTTTGAAACGGATGAAATTATGGCTATTTTAAAGGTATTTTATTACATGCTTGATTTTACTAAATAATACTGACACAAATTTTCGGAAAATGGAGCAAAAGTACCTATTTATTTTAATTCTAAAAGACATTGGGGAATTTCCCGATTTCGAAACTTATGAACAAAATGTTTGGAATATTCGAATAATTTATCCGCAGAATTATAACAAATACTAATTACATTAATTCAATTTCTAGAGCTTGGCATATTTCCATGCGCTCGGTATTGGCATAAGACGTTTGCAGCCAAGCGTTTTCTATTCGAAAGTTGATCCTTACTTACACAGATTTTGTGAAACTTGTAATATTGAAAAAGATATCAAAAGGGTTGACGTACGTTTAATTCATATAGATGTAGTTTCTTTACACCAAAATTGTCATTATCTTTGGTATCTACTGAATTTTCTTCTTTTTTTGAGTAGAAATTGGTCAATCAGTTACGCAGCACTTTTCCCAAAATGACGAGAGGAATGCAGAATACGATAAGAAACCAATTGAACGATGCGAAGAATTTTTATCTAAAGACTGAACGATCGCAAGACACACCGTATACAACAATTTCTCATAATGATTTATGGTCAATGAACATAATGTTTAAAAGAGGTACATTGTATTGATGCCAAAAGCATATAAAGCGTATGTGGCATGTTTTTTTCTTTTTTTTAAATCAAAATAAAAACTTGATGTTAATTCTACAGATAAAACTGCGAAAAAGTCGATCCAAGTGAAATTGTTGGATTTCCAAATGTGTGGTTACGAATCGTTTGCATTGGATTTGATGTTCTTGTTGCTGTTCAATGCCCCAATTGAAGACTTAAGAATGAATTTTAAATCTTTTATCGAGTATTATCATTCCGAATTTGTGAAAACATTACGACTCGTTAATTGCTCGCACGATGACTATACATTTGAAAAGTAAGTGAAATTTGTTAGTTCACATTAGCTGTCATATGTTCGTCTATTTTTTCATAATTTTGTCAGTTATCTATTCAACCACAAATACTACCAAAGAAATGTTCAACGTATTAAAATTAATAACACACTCATGAAAAAATTGAATAAGTGTCTACTAACGTTATTTTATGTGTTTATTTATTGTTTTTCATAAAGGATGTGGAACGAAATTAAAGGAAAGGCGAAAATTAGTTTATTTAAACTATACTTGTTTTTGGGGCGTGATAAAATCAATACGCTTCAAATGAACTCAACTGTAGCCAACCCAAATCCAGATTTCTATCTTGAACAACCAACACCACAAAACATTATCAATCGATGGCAATGTATTAATGATGTATACATTGCAAACGGTTTGCTTTGGAAGTAATTTTAAAAGTCTATCATTTAAAAAAAATCATTTGATTTTCATAATCTAAATGTACAATTGACATAGCTTTGATGTAAATTCAGTTTCATTGTAAGCCTGAAGATGAACACATGATGTTCGAAAACATTTGCTATTAATAAAGCATATTTACATCAGAACGAAACGTAAATCCGGGAATTTATTTATTTATTTAAACTATTAGGAATTATTTTTTATCGAAATTAAATGAAATAAACATTTTGAATGTACTCAGTAGAATGTACAAATGAATGTACTCAGTTCTTAGATATTGTTGCTCGTATTTGCATTTGATGTTTTCACTGAATCAGCCTTCACTTAATAATTTGATAGTACTTTCAGGCACCACGCACTTTTTGTTATTCTGCATTTGACCTAGATTTTGGATAAAATACCAAAATTTCTCTAAAAAAATATTAAGAATACATGATGAAATCTATTGGATTAAATCAAAACGGTAATTTTCTTCATGTTGATTTCCTTAATGGTATATCGTGTATATATTTATCAAATAAAAAACCTCTATCGAGGTGAAGAACGAGTGACGAAACCAAAATTTGAAACACAAAATTTCTGATATCAATTTTGTGACGAAAATAGTTGGTAGATATATTTTCTGTGTACTGTGAATATAAACTTAATATACATTTGTATATTCGGAACGTTGCTGAAATTCTCTCCTTTTTACTTTGAGTTCATGCTGAGGCAATGAAGCAACGTTCCGAATTTACAAAATTGATATCAGAAATTTTGTGTTTCAAATTTTGGTTTCGTCACTCGTTCTTCACCTCGATAGAGGTTTTTTATTTGATATCAATAGTTTTGTAAGCGCTATTTTCAATGTTAAAGATTCAAGAAACATGAATTTGAATCTTTTTCAAATACAATGAAAATATGGATTTTTAGGTTATTTTTGAATCAAAATCATATAAATCATAATGGGGAAAAGTGGTTTTTTCTGTGGTGTGTGGTATGCATATTTTTTATCTTTGACTTGAGGCTTAAATTGATGAAATTTTCAGTTCATTCAAGAGAAAATATGCAGTCTTTTTCGAAAAAATGCCCGTTATATGTGCGGTCAACGGTCAATTTTTGGTTTTTTGCCAATTTGGCCACCCCCATATGAAATTTTTAAGTCGCAATTGACACCACTTGAGAGCTTTTTTAAGACCTTTCGAACGAATATGCATTTGTCCTGGTTATGTCAAGTCTAGGTCCCACAGCGACTGTATGAAATAATGGCCATTTTTGCATGACCTTTTTCATAGTTTGCTATTTATACTAACATTTTTGTAGATTTCTTTTAATTTCATTTGTGACTAACCGCATGCACCTCTCCCGAAGATAGTCCACCTTCTGGCCTGGTGGGAGGGGGCATAAGATTGGGTATTTTATCGATCTTATGCGAGGAGACTATCAAACATGTAGTTATTTGTTGTTAAAATTTCATATTTCATACATCTAGACTTTTTTGTGACATTTCGAATTTTGGTACATTTGGCCGGTTTTTGGTGGAATAGCCATCCAAACGGTCGATATTTTGTTCAATTTTGTTTGGCTAGTCACAGAGCATAGTTACAGATTCATTGGAGTACATTTTGGCCCATAAAATACTTCAAATCTTAAAAGTAACATTTTTTGTCATTTTTGGCCATTTTTGGCCATATTCGCACTATCAAAGGCCATATCGTGAAGACAAGAATTTTTAGGGATATAAGCTATGCGGCATTTTATAGCTTAGACTTGGGCCTAAAAATCGGTGAAATTTTCAAGTGACCATGAAAGGCTAGTTTTCGAGCTAATGACCATTATGTGTCCGGCCAAACGGTAACTTTTTGGTTTTTGGCCAATTTGGCCACTCCAAATTGAAATTTTTGGACCGCAAATGGCTTTATTCGATAGCTCACTTCAAGACCTTTCCAATGATATGCATATGTCTGGGGGGTACAGTCATGGCGCTTCGGTGACCATAAGGAAAAAAGTCGAAAAGTGACTTTTAGAGACTGGCCAGGGCCAACATGGCGGCCATATCGAAAAGTGCCGGAACAAAAAAGTATTAGTTTTTTATGTAATTTAATCCAAGAAAATTTCAAAAAGATCAGAATCGAGTACGCAAAATCGCGGACAGACAGACATTTTGATTTTTCATAGAAATTTATATGAAATTTTCAAAATGCGGAATTTTTCGAACGGATTGATTGATTTCGACGTTTGAGGTATCGCTGGAAAGGTATTGAGCTCTAGAATAAGAATATCGATGTTTCAGGGGTCAATGACCTCATTTAGTGCCATCTTTGGAATTTTGACCCTTTTCTTGAAAGGACCATATTTTGAAAACAGGCGGACCGATTTTCAAATTTTGACATTTTTTCTTGATCTATAGCCCAAAGCCTTTCCAACCATACATCAACCGGGGCCAACGGCCTTCTAGGTCTGGATTTCGTATATTACGTGTATATATAGCGAGTTCGACTTTTCAACACACTAATGTGGTTTCGTCACTCGCGCGAACTGCCGTCCGCTGTGATGACTTCTCGGTGCAACAATCTGCTTCAATAAATGACATAGATAAATTTCGTATATTTAATTGAGGTTTTCGTCTTTTTTGAGTTGGTATATTGTTTGTTGGGGCCATATCTGTTGTCGTCCCTGCTGTTGATTTTTGCTATCGACAATCCTGAATAGCAACAGTCTTTGAGAATGATGCAAATGTTTGCCTGGCTTCAGTTTTTTTAATTCAATTTATTCGTTTGTTTTGTTTGACGTTGACGCTATCAAAATTTCCATAACAAAACTGCTAGTCATTGATATATAAATCTATATTATCGATTGATTCTAGCTAGCTAATAACTATGGACGCAAGAATCCACAAAAAATACTCCCAAAATTAACAAATATTTTTCATTGTGATAAATAGAAAGATTTGTTTTCATTCAAAATGATGCAAACATCTCAATCGAATGAAATGATTTTAAATTGATTTGGATATCAAAAACATTTTCATATAAGTTCAACTATTGAATTGATGCGAGTCTGGAGAATTTGTGAAAGAAGAACGACGATGGTTTGTTTGGCCTTTCGGCCAAAATGAGGAGGTACTACTAATTTAAAGGAAGTTTGTATACATTTCAAATCGTCGGTACATAAAAAGAAAGAACGAGAAAAAAAACTGAAAGAGAAGAGTGAAATACTAGGTGAAATACCAGATGTACAAGTAGTTAGCGTTTGCACCCATATAATATATATATGTATGGGTATATATGTATTCAGTTTGTTCTGCTGTCATTGTATGGTGTTGTTGGTGTTTTCGTTATTGCCGAATTTGTGTGTCGTTGCATGCTATACGTTGCAATTTCGGAACGTTGAGGCTAATAAACGAAATTTTGGTTTTTGTGGTTCTTTTGGCCCAATTTTCTTATTTGAATTTCATTTCATTAAACTCCGCACGATGTATTGAACAGTGAAATCCACATCATACTGACCAGCTAAAAATGTGCGTCCCATCATCGCTTCCGAGCCTTTCCTCTCTTCCTATTTCTATCACTGTGTCTTTCTATCAGTGAAAATATCGCCTTTTACCCGACACGAAGCCGGATTGAGTATGGTTTTGGTTTGTGATATTTTATGGAATTGCTTTTGGTGTCGTTTGTTTGTTTGCTTGTTTGTTTTGTTAGTTTTTATCTTCGTTGAAATTTTTATTTGTACCATCGAATGCAGCAGCGTATACATGTTGTTTATCGATTTTTCTCGCTTTGTATTTTTTTTCACTCGGTTCTATGGTAGTTGGTTCTCTTTCAAATATTTTCAATGCACTAAATTCGTCTATTATTTTTCAATATTATGTTGTTGCCGCATTGTAGCCCACTACGTCGATGTTGTACTGCTCCCACACAACCTCATCGATTCAATACATATTTGGATTGTGTGTGCTGCATAATATCCAACAATGAAGCCAACTCGATATTTATATTATTGGCAATATATCCATTTTTCGACATGCGACAATTATTTTAACGGTTGCCGATTTTATCTGGCGGGCTTGCAGCGTGAGATCCATCAGTCAACTGAAAAAATGTGAGAAAAAAAAATGATGATGTTAATGGCTGTAACCAGATTCATCACTCATGATCATGAATACAGATAAAATGAAACGAGCTATATGTTGTGGTAAAACGGTATAGTGTTTATCACAACAACGAAAACATGCAAAACGCTCACTTCTCGTTCTCTCTCTGTTTCTGTCTGCCATTAAAAAAAATATTAAAATAGCCATTCGTTTTGGCGTGGCTGCGCGCATACGACGAGACAGAGAGCAAAAACTATTTGCCATTTTCTGATAGTAGAACACAATGTTTACTGAACATTGATACTCGACAAAAGTGAGCAAATAAATTAAATGTTGCCTTTAATTTGAGCCACTCGGTGTGTTGGATGAGACGATGCGTATGTAAAGCATTGCAGGCCAAATGAGTGAGCCAGAGAAATACGGGTCAGTTTTTTTGTTGTTGGTTGTATTGAATTAACTGGGTTATTTTGTTAGGTCTGTCATATTAAATATGAGCATTATCAGAACAAAAGTAGTGTGTATCATGTGGAAAATAGATGGATATGCTCGAGTAAACGATCCTTGGTGAATCAAATGTAGATGGTGCTATGGGCAACGGTGACAGACGAAATGTAAAGATGCGTTATTGTACAACCAAATGCACTTGGGAATTATGCTATTTGCGTGTTTGGATGATTGTGTGTTTTGATGTGTATGAAAATGCAAAGGCGACAAAATAGAACAAATCGTTTTGGTTGTGGAATTGTGGTTCAGTCGCATATTTGGTCGAAAAAAAAAATAAAAATACATATAAAACTGTAAGTATATATGCCCGAATCGAATGTATATCACAGTTAGAGGTGCCGAGCCGCACATTCCATTACAATGTTATCGAATCATTCGATATGTTTTACTGTACCAAATGAATGCTGTACACACACACAAACACACAAGTAAAACGAAATGAATTGATGGTATTATGCGTGCGAGTGCGGGTGCGAGTGAGCGCACGCGCCGCACCGTGAAAGTAGCTGCAACGAAATAGATGAAAAGCCTTACGATGTAATTAATTGAATGAAATTCAAGCGCATGTAAAATATAATTTA